AATCCTGTAAGTATTCAGTCACACACAAGGAAGTAAACTACCTCAGCAGAATGAATTGATTAGAAGACTAAACAGAAAATAGGAAGGCAATTTACTATCCTGAAGTGTAGAAATACAATGCCATCCAGATCCTTCCCACATCATTGACAGAAACTGAATGAATCAATGATACAGATTAAATTGGGCCTTAAATGACTCTTACTGCTGTGAGGCATTTTCTAGAGCAGGATGGTATTGTCATCTGTTTTTCCAGTTAAAATTATAGTTTCGTAAAGATACGGATATAGGAAACACAACTAGCTATGCATATGCTGCTGAAGAACCATGTTGGGTAACGACTTATGACACTAAAATGATTATACACCCAGAAAAATGTTAAATAGCTCAGAAGAACCAAAAGATTATGTTTAACAAGACCCACACAGTTATGATCAAGGGGCTTTAAACTCAAATCGAAGAATAAAAATAATCTTCAGTTAAAACTGCAAGACTATGAGTAACAATAATATTATAGGAAAAAAAAGAGTGGAAGAACTAGCAGGTAATTATTAAGAGGAGAAATACAAACAAATAGAAAACAAATCCAACAGCCTAAAAAAAGGCGTGTGTTTATAGAGTGCAAACCTGCAATATCAAAATAAGTAAATCTCAGGGACTGTTAATACTTAGTGGAAAGGAATTCATTAGTGGGAGCTGGCATTTGAAAGGAATGTCTTACAATATTTTACAACAGAAGGTAGAAGATACCTATAAATGAATTTATACAAACACACACACATACACGGAGATTCTTGAACATGGAGATTCTTGAACATGAACATAAACAAAGGAACCCCTCCAACTCCCTGGCCAAGTGAGGCTAAAAGAAGTCAACAGTTGTATTATCAAATGGAGTTTGGTCACCTGACCAGATGGATGATTTAGATCAGGCTTTCATAAAACATGTAGAAGGATAATATCAGCCATGATGGGGACATTAGCTATTCACATGTACTGGCAGCTTAATTTTGCTCAAATTAGAGCATCTGATAAATTCTTGTTATGTGGCTAAAAACTTCATCCTCTACAGATAAAGGATGTAATGAAGGGAACTGATTTAATAATTTCACACATAAATTTAAACAACAACAAAACTGAATGATGTCAAACATATAACTACATTTGTGGTTGGATATTCTAACAGGGACTCATGATATTCTTAGGAAGCAGAAAAAATAGTGCACTTATATATGACTTAATGACCATATCCAAAGAACAATGACTGGCAGATTTATATCAACCTTGAGGGAGACCTCTAGTTGGTCTATTCTTGATCTGGTCCCACAAAACATTTAAAATCAGTGACTTGAAGAAACAGTAATATATGTATATGTTTCTAGGTGACACAAAGCTGGGAAGGAGAGTTAATATGCAGAACAAAATAGTACATACAGCAAGTATTGACTGAGCACCTTTTATGGGTAAGATGTCAAAGTGAACGCAACGATGAGTCAAGATAAAATACTTCCTCTCAGGGGCGCTTGGGTGGCTCAGTGGGTTAAAGCCTCTGCCTTTGCTCGGGTCATGATCCAAGGGTTCTGGGATCGAGCCCGCATTGGGCTCTCTGCTCAGCAGGGAGCCTGCCTCCCTCCCTCTTAATCTCTCTGCCTGCCTCTGCCTACTTGTGATCTCTGTCAAATAAATAAATAAAATCTTAAAAAAAAAAAAACAAAACTTCCTCTCAGGTTCCTTTTCAACAGGGGCAATAAAAATATGTATAAATGATCAAAAAACAAGATATGATATGATATGATAAGTTCCATAAAAAAACTTAAGTGGTTGGACAGATCACTGAAGGGAGATATTACTCCTAGCTTTAAGTGTTGGTGGATTCAGAAGGAAGTATCCATGGGAACATGTCAAGTGAGTAGAATTTGGATATGTAGTAATGAAGAGAAGGGGATTCTAGATTCAGAGGTGGAAAACTATGGAAGTAATATTGAGAAGGGTTTGTGGTTTTGTCTGAAGAATGAAATGCAGGATTGGGAGCAGAAGGAAACAAAAGTTGGGTAAGAAGATTCTGGGATTCAGGTTGGCACAATAAATTGAAAACAATAAAATTAAATTAAACTTGGATGAACTTGCAGTTTTAGGATTGCAGTATAAAGATTTGCTTCCCTTTTTCTTCTTGAAAATTACCCTCAAACAATTAGGCAAAAAGAAATAAAACACAAACACTGATTTTAATGACTAAGAGGAATATATGAAGCATTACACATGGAAATTAAAAGCAGATAAAAGAGTGATTGGTGACTTAGCATAGCAAAGGAAGGCCAAGTCCATGTGTCAGAAGAGGGGATACCACAAGTAGCACTTCCAGAACCTTGGAACTGTTTAGGAATTAGAAACACACACACCGGGGCACCTGGGTGGCTCAGTGGGTTAAAGCCTCTGCCTTCGGCTCAGGTCAGATCCCAGGGTCCTGGGATCGAGCCCTACATCAGGCTCTCTGCTTAGCAGGGAGCCTGCTTCCTCCTCTCTCTCTCTGCCTGCCTCTCTGCCTACTTGTGATCTCTACCTGTCAAATAAATAAATAAAATCTTAAAAAAAAAAAAAGAAACACACACACCAAGGGCAAAAGAGAGGCAAAGGACTGAAATGAGGAAAGGGCTAAAAACAGGAAAAGTCTGAGGCAGAAGAAATTGAACCCCTACTCATACTCAGTGACACCAAGCAAAAGGACAGACTGAAGCTAAGTGCCAAGCAACGTCACAGAATGACAGTTAAAAACAAAAAACAAGAGCTACTATTTCTTAATATTTTAAAATAAAAAATATTTTAATGTTATATATAGTATAAAATATTTTTAAGAGCTATACATATGCCCAGCTCCAAGTCCTAACTTTAGAGATTCTTATTTAGTATAGTGGGAATCAGTAACATGTTTTGATAATGTTTCTTAGTCTGAAAACCACTGAGCCGGTGTAAAGAAATCTATTCCCACAACTTATCAAAAGATAAAATGGCATAGAGGAAAATGTAGGTATTTTCATTTAGAGGTAAATACTATTTGCCAAGTATTGTTCTAGGAATTGTACAGTACACAAAAAATTCTCTACCTTCACAGAGTCTGTATTTTAGTAACTGGAAAGACACAAAGTATGTAAAATAGATTGTATTTTATATCTTATTAGCCAGTTACATGAAGAAAAAACAGCAGGGAAGGGGAAAAAGGAATGTGGTCAGAGAGAAGGTAATATTTGAGTAAAAATCTGAAAAAAGTAGGGGAACCAACCATCAAGATAAGGTACCTGGGAAAAAGTGTTTCAAGCAGAATAGCTGAGGTAAAGGGCTGAGACAGGAGATTGTCTATATGTTTATTCAAGGAACATCAAACCAGCCAGGAGAGCTGGAGGAGAGTGAATGAAGATAAGAGATCAAGGGTAACAGGGGATCTAAATTGTATAGGATTCTCATAGGCTTGTGAAGAACTTTGGCTTTTATTCCTAGTGAGATGGTAAGCCCAAGGATTAGAAAAGTGAGTCATTTACACACACACACACACGATATACTTATGAATCTGAAAAACAATGGAATTTGTCTAGGTAATTAATAACAAAAATAAAAATGTTCAGTCATGTCTGGGAACATTACCTGGCTAAATAAATCTAGACATTTCCTAATACAGTACCTTAAAGTGAGTGTATAATAAATATTTGTGGAATAAATGGACAGTAAATTTATACTAAAAAGGAAAATAAGAGTTTCTGAAGTTCTTAGAAAGTCAGAAGCACTGTATTAAGAATACAACAATTATCCTAAAATGTAGTCTTTTACCAAAGATTCTAGGCATTCTTGTAGATATCATCAAGTAGATATTTCTATTTCCTACTTTACATATGTTCAGCAAGAAAACTAAAAAGTCTTCCAGAATCATTTTGAAACATTTCATCTTCTGTTTGAAAGAGTAAGACAGTTTTTAACAGTCCATATTTTAAGCTTAGCAGAGCCTCACTGGGATCTAGATTTAAAAATTTATTATAGTTCATGCACAAACTAATCCTACTTTATTCTTACAAAAGAACATTATATATTTTCATCTCAAAGTCTGATTTATTTTTTTCCAAAGCCTAGAACCCAGGGTTTTGGCTATCAATGAAGAATTATGCAAGTGACAAATTCATTTCTTCTGACAGCTACGGAAAGTGAATGTACTTTCTTCTTCCCAATGTCACTTCTGCTGCTTCTAAATGAACCAATCCACTCTTTCTGCCAGACACTATTTGTTTTTAAATTATTGGGTGATAAATAATGTCATGGACAGCAAAACAAAACTGCCTCTTCTTTAATATTAGTACTTCTTTTGCTTGACAGAATTTGAAAAATACATAGTTTTTTTAATTAACCAAAAAATGATGAAGAGCTAGCTCCTTCAACCTCTGCAATAGGACTTTCTACTGAAATGAAATTAACTTCTGCTGTTACAGGCAATTGTAGATACTTTTGGTATCAGAACATGTAATGATATCTCAGAAAAAAAAAAAAGAATTCTGAAGTCATATAGTACTAAAAGATCTACCTTAAATGGCTAAGAAGCTTAAATTCTCTTCTATGACCAAACCACTGACAGATGAAATTCAGAATAAACGTACACAAAACCCATTACTTGTACAAGCATATAGGAATTAAGTTAAAGTCATATGATTTAAGAAACAGTCCACTTCCATTCCTCTGATATGTCTAAGATTTGCTGATAATTTTATGTAAAGCAAAAAAATTTACATAAATTTATATTAAACTACGTTAATTTGAAGTGTGAGCTCAATTTTAACTAGAAGGATCTGACCTCTGTTTACTTTTTATCAGGGTATTAATTAAACATAGGAAAGAAGTGAAAGAGTAGAAAACTTGGTCACTCAGTTTAGCAGTTTTCTCAGATAGGAAAAATAACAATGAAACCTCTAGGGTTAAGAATTTCAAATGAGGCTGCTAGACAGAGAAGACAGACCAAATCAGCTTACCACTTGAACCATTTTGAGATATCTGGCATATCTTGGATCCTTGGCTACAGTTAAGATATTTTCTGGTGTTACTTCACTTTCCTGTGGTCCAGAGTCTTGTAAACTGTTCTGCTGTAGAGAGTATTGGGTGTAAATCTTTAGACAATTCATAGAAGGGGTCCATTATGTTACTTAAAAAGGGGTGTATCTTGTTATAATTCTGAAACAATCAATATCAGAAAAAAAATCTTATTTCTAAATTTAAATACCAATAATTTAATTATGGGATATATGTTTCCAAATATTTACAAATACTTAAATATGATTTCAGAGTAAGTTCCATTTAATTTCAACTTATATTATTCCTTAAAAAATGCAAATATATTCATGGCATTAAAAAATACTAGAATTCTACTTTAGTTGTCCCCAGAGTGCCAATATAAAACATGAATTATAGATGGACATATTATTTTCATAAAACTTTTAATAAAGCTAATGAAACTATTTGATTTGCCAATGGTTCAACTCTAGCAGATAGCAAATGGATTTTCTAGGTAACTCCCATCTATACAATTGAATTCCTCATTTATTACATAATTTTACTCCAAGTATATATGGCTATTCTATCATCTTAGAAAGCACTGCATGGAGAATCTGTGGAAGAGAAGCCCATTTTTCCAAACAAAATTATCTAGTTTTGTATCTTTCAGCTACTGATGGAACTATGAATGTTAATCCACTTGCAATAAAGAATACTGGGGAATGGTCTTTTTAGATAAAAATGCTTTTATCATATAGGCAGTTCTCACTTTGCATAGTACTGTGTTAAATGAATAGATGTTTCTCCCATTATATAACACTAAGTATACAAAACTGAGCGTGTGTGTGTATGTGTGTGTATATATATATATATATATATATATATATTTATACATATATATATAATTCATCTTAAAAATACATGAATACAAAAAATCCAAAACATTTAATTAAATAAAAAGTTCAAACAAGACCCAAGTATGTTTTTAAAAAAAATTATGGACAATAAACTCATACAATAGTACAATGGAACAAATGAGAATTAATTACACATAGGATCAACGAATTTCAAAACTCAGCCTTAACTTTGCCTAATAACCAAGATCTCAACAAGGTTTAATTATGTCAGCCCTTACACCTTTGCTATTTGAATGACCCGTTAAATCCTCTATCGTATCTCTCAACTGTCCTTCATTTTATTCTCAATCTCAATCTGCACAATTGGAAGTTCTATTGTGAGTAATGATAAGATCTGAACCATGAAATTAAAGTTGCAGAAAAATCAGTATGCAGAAAAATCAGTATGCAGAATCCAAGACTTGGGTCTTTGACTCGTATAGATTAGAGACTGAAATGAATGAGTGATTAAAAAAGTACATGATTATACTTTATCAGATGAGTGAGTTTGTAATGCCCGTGGAAATTCTGTGTTAAGTAGTACTTAAGTCCATCTCAAAATATTTTACATAAAAAATAACAATAACAATGGAGAAGAAATAAGAAGTTGATTTGAATATTAACATGCTGAACTGGTATTTTATCAAGCTACTACTCAACATGCAACTTGACTACAATTTTTTAAACCTAGGAAGCCAACAAATCTTCATAAATTGTCCAAATGAATTAATATATATTTTTTAAATATAATTAACAAAATATACCAGATTATCCTGAATTTTAGAAAATTTAGCTGTGATTATTCGTAATCATTTTTTTGAGACCTTAAATAAGAAGGGCCAACACAATCACATAAGTTTTAAAATACATATTATAGACGGCATTCATAATAACACCTGAAAAAATTAATATTCAAAATTAGACAGATACCGCCACTTAAACATATGATGGCTAATATCCACCAAAGAATAACTGCAAGATAGAGTGAAAATATTTTCTTAATGTTTTTATACATGCCTGTTTTAGAAAAAGCACAGTCCATATTTAATTAAAAGGACCTTGTGAGGTTAAACTTCTCTAAAACACCTGGATTTTTTTCTTGTATATTATATATATTTCAGTGGCCATGATAATACAATTTGCTATATTAATTAAATGGATATTAAATTTTCTAATATCTAATTGTTAAGTAAATGGTCATCTATTTTATTCCCCCAAAACATATAACTAAATTTATGGCTCCTCCCATGGCCTTGTACCATGTGTGTTCAATATTTAATGAATTCAACATAGGTGCTGGAGACAGTGTAGCACAGCAGGTGAGAGCTAGGACTCTTGGCATTGGTTTGCCTGGGTTAAAATTCCAGCTCTTACACTTGTTCTTTTGACCTTCGGTAAGTAACTCAACCTCTATGCATACCATTTCATACATCAGTGAAGTAGCAGTGATAATATAGTATATACTTCATTGGGCTGTTGTGATAATTAAATGAGTTAATTTCTGAAAAGCACTTAGAAGAATTGCTTCAGAGGTAAACAGTTAAGCACGCTCTGCATGTTAGTCATTATCATCACAGCCAACATAATCATAACCTAGAAAATATCCTGTGAGAAGAATCTCCAGGTACAAATGCAGAATCTCATATAGCTAAGAAGTCAATTTGTTCAGTATAACTAGACAGACCACTATCTTTAGTGATTATTTTATTTTGAATTTTAATACCTCACTGAGATACACTAGAGACTATCTATTCTGCAACAATAAGAATTTTTATTTGTTGAAATAAAAAGTAATATAATATTTAAATGATTGCAGGGCATAAATGAACATTAAGACATAAGATCCAAATATAAAGTGTGGCCCTTACCAGCATGCTGATTTGAACAAATCAACTCCAAAACCACACTTTTTAGATACTTGATATTTCTAGATCAGTATCTCTCAAATTTCAAGAGCCTATGAGTCACCCAACGATCTTATGAGAATATAGATTGTGATTCACTAGGTCTGGGATGGAGCCTGAGGTTCTTTGTTTCTGACAAGGCCTCCAGGTGATGCCCACGGTTCTGGTACCTGGAGTAATCTTTGAGTAGCGAGGGGTTAGATGACACTTGGGAATTACTGCTAATTATATTGTGTATGATAAAAGCATTGTGGTTATAAAGGAAAATGCCCGAACTTTTCAGAGATGCTCAAGGAATTACACAGAGGTGAAATGCTATGATGCGTGAGATTCACTTTAGCAGGTGATAAAAAAAAATAGATGAAGCAAATGTAAGAAAATTTTTACCAGAGAATCTGGGTAATGGACATTTAGTTATTAATTGTAATATTCTACTTTTGTGTGTGTTTGAAGGTCTTTATAATAAGACATTTTAAAAGTATCCTTATAAAAATGTAGGAAAAATGTCCATAGTGAACTTGAAGAGCACTGTTATGTTCAAGATTTCTCTTAGTCCTATTTTATAGTTTCTCTTTTACAGGCAAAGAAAATATTAACTTCAGGGAGTTCTTCAAAATAACCATACAACAGTTAACTTTTTTCAAACTTCCTTTTCTATTTCAAGGTTTTAAAATGTTACTATTCAAAGTTTTACATCTTTATTTAACTTCCTTCAAACCTGCTGCTAGGTTTGTCTGGTTTAACCAAGAAGACCTACTCATGCTTCCTGGAACTTAAATACTTACTTGTGATTTCTCTGAAGTGGTTTCAGAATGTGATTCTTTTGTGACACCAGGGACACTTACAGGTGATACTTCAAATGTCACATCATCTAGGCCTGGGATAGATGACAACTGAGAAAAGAAAATTAATGTTGGCATTTGAAGATAATATTAGCTGCTTAGTTTATATTTATATTATTTTATATATTTATATTATTTTATAATATAAACATATAAATATTTAGAATATTTATTCTTCATTACGAGTAAATATTTTATTATATTTATATATTTATATCATTTTATATTATATTATTTATATTAGATGCTTAGTTAATATTAGCTGTAAGTTTCTAAGTGTGTGCATTTTTGATAGCTACCTTAAGTTTTTAAGCCTATAGAAATAGGGTATATAAAATCTCATCTTTGGTGTCTGAAATTCCCCATGCTATAAACTACTTAAAAGTGAAAGGTATTCACAAATAAAATATTTTCAAGTAATTTCTCATAAATCTAACTTCACTCATAACCATTCTTTCCCTAGGAATTATTTTAAAAAATATAAGGAATCCTAGTATAAGAAATAAAAGCATGGGCTTTCGAGTCAGACTGTCTAAGGTTAAGTCACAAGCTATGTGACTGTCTGTAAATCTCCTTAATATCAATTTTCTCCCCTGGAAAGTGGGGATAAGAAAACTTAACTCACAAAGTTGTAAGAAAATTTTTATTAAACATATTTTGTAGGAAAAAAAGTCCTTTGCAGCACATTTTAAGTTTGAATTATCTGGGAACTGATATAACTTCTGTCATCACATTTTAATGTCTGACATAGCTCATTATTTTTTTCTTTCTTTAAACATTTACCACTAAAGGTTACTAAAATATGCTATTTTTTCATAGACAAAAGATGGGCATGCTGTCAAGTGGTTATGTATTTCAGGTTGAATTTGCAGGATCCAAGCAAACACTCTTTTCTGATTTCATTCTGATATCAGTGATAGACATTTGTCAGATGTTTGGCTAACTTTAGGAATTAATTTTATGGCTATGGAAATAATTAAGGCTAATTTGTCCATACAATATCTTAACTTGTGACTACGGACTCTAACTCAAGAATTCCCCAAACATTAAAATAAGGCACATACTCATAATGAAGAATAATGAAGAGGAAAAAAACAATGGTAGTAAGATCTGAAGCAGCAATACTCATTGAGCACCGCTGACTGCTGACAGTACTTAGCACAGTGCCCCGGCCCAAATAGTTCCAAGTAGGTATGGCTGCTAGGAGATTATGTTCAACATGGTCAAGGCCAGGTACCCTAAATTTCCAAGCTACAGAAATATTTTGAGAGAAATGTAGTGGCTGAAGTCCACAAGATATAGAAAGCACAAACTAGACATTCTGATCCTTATGCTAAAGCTTTAGCCATTTTACTTTCCCATAAATATTCAAAATATATTTTTAGATTAATTTTTTATAAAAGGACAAAGTCACAAAAATATACTATTATATAATTATATATATATATATATATATATATACTTATATATATAAGTATTATCTTATAATCAGGGAAAACACTGAACCGTAAGCTTTAAAATCAAAACTCTTTATTTTTGCTAGTTATATAATGTAACTTCTTTTTTTTTTTTTTTTTTTAAGATTTTATTTATTTATTTGACAGACAGAGATCACAAGTAGGCAGAGAGGCAGTCATAGAGAGAGAGAGGGGGAAGCAGGCTCCCCGCTGAGCAGAGAGCCCGATGCAGGGCTCGATCCCAGGACCCTGGAATCATGACCTGAGCCGAAGGCAGAGGCTTTAACCCACTGAGCCATCTAGGCACCCAATATATTATGTAATTTCTGACATCAAAATTGGTACTCTTCATTAGCATTCAATATATTTACAAATAGAAAATAGCTGATATTTTCTCCAAATTTTGCTCTGAAGCAAAATTTGAAGTTTTATGTAATTTTTACTGTGTTATCAAATGATTACTATAATTGTGAATTTTCCATCAAATGAAGTGAACTACAGAACATCCCGATTTGTTAACATGTTACTCACATGCTTTTGACTAGAATAATAATTCATGTGTACATTTAAACAAACTCCGTTAACGGTTCATAATGAGTATCATTTTCTTTGTAATTATAATTATAATGAATTAAGAACAAACAAAAAAACACTACACTACCTCACAGATGCAGAAGCTAAATTGAATTCATTCCCAAATGCAATTAGAGTTAAGTATGACTGAGAAAGGGGTATATGTGGAGCAAAGTTTATACTATAAGTTATTCAGAAATACAAACCTTTGCATCCAAAATATTGAGAGTTGTTTCAATTTGCTGGATACGAAGAGAAAGGTCTGCCAGTTTCTGGAAAAGAAAGATTTGATATTAAGAATAAAGTCTGAAATGAACTCTTAACAGAATAACAAAGGGCAGATTTGAAAAAAACAAAAAACAAAAAACTATGGTTTAAGTATTAGTCATTTTCTAATACAGTATTCTCTTATTTACATGAGTAGGAATGGGAGCTCAAGGATTCTGTTATCTTCATTAACATGTTTCATAGCTACTTTATAAAAACTGTATTCACAGATAAGCAAAAATTACCTTATCAGCCTTAACAAAGTCATTATGACATTCATAATCAGTCACTGGGACCAGAATGTAAACTTCTTCCAGAATAGAGATTTTTGTTCACTGTTATAGACCTCATGCCCAGAACAGTACCTAAAACTTAATAGGAGTCTAATAATTGTTTGCTGATGAATGAAGGAACTTTTCATATAAAACAAGAATAAAAATTAGCTCAACACAGCCTCGAACAAGATCTGTCTTTTTAAGTTATTTAAACAAGTTTTGCAATTAGTATAATAATTAGTCCCAAATTTAAATTTTTTAAGTTTGAAAATTAAAGAAGATGAAATTAGAAGATGAGTCAGTTCAGGTTGGAAAGAAATAAAACAAAGAGAAAAAAATCAGAGTACTAAAAAGCAAAAGGAATCAACCTACCATCAAAATCCAAGATAAAACAGAACCAAAAGCTTACCATGCTCTAGTTATTCTGTACAATTAAATTACCCGTACGTGTGTGTACTATTTACAGCCACACAAATAAAAGTAACATCATAAAATATGATCCACAAGAGCATTTACTTAAAACTTTCTAATCCTAAACATTATTATACTCTGTAATAAAGTCCAAGAGCAGTTGGCACATTTACCAGTTGGCAGATGTGAGGCACTCTGACTGCTTTCTGGGGTATTATCAAGATCCTGACTAACTCCTAAGCAGAATTTTAATACCCCCAAGAAATGGTCATTTGAGGGCACCCGGGTGGCTCAGTTGGTTAAGCAACTGCCTTGGGCTCAGGTTATGGTCCTGGAGTCCCAGGATCGAGTCCCACATCCGGCTCCCAGCCCCATGTGGAGTCTGCTTCTCCCTCTGACCTTCTCCCCTCTCATGCTCTCTCTCTCTCTCTCTCTCAACTAAATAAATAAAATCTTAAAAAAAGAAATAAAAAAAAAAAAAAAGAAATGGTCATTTGCCCACATTTATAGGGGAAAAAAACTGAAGTCAGCCACAGTGGAGTTAGAGCTTTTAAGATGAGCACCCTGGTATCTACAAAGCTCTAATTAAGAAATAAAAGATTAGAACCTAGTTTAAAAAAAAAAAGTTTTATTTATTTTAGAGAGAGAGAGAGAGAGAGAGAGAGAGAGCACAAGTGGGAGGGGCAGGGAAGGAGGAGAGAGAATCTCAGGCACAATCTGTGCCCAGTGCAGAGCGCAACTTGGGTCTGGATCTCATGACCCTGAGATCACGACCTGAGCCAAAACCAAAAGTCAGAGGTTCAACCGAATGTGCCACCCAGGTCCCCTAACATCTAGGCTTAAATGGCACTCAAGGCTAAGTTTAACTTTGAGCTCTAGCATTTGCTCACATAAGGCTTTAATGTAAACATAAATACAGGTTTATAAATCATTATATGAATGAATTCCTCTCCAAATTATAAGTGTTTTCTTGGAAATCATGGAAATTAAATTTTTGTAAACTTCATCAGTTTTTTAATTCATTAGAGAAGCTTAATAATTGCAGAAATCCTACAATAAGTTAATTTATAAAGTGAGATAATTTCTAGCTTATCTAAAACTACTTGTATTGGTTGGGTTAAAATAAACAGAAAAATATGAATTAAAATTAATATTTGTTCAGATATATTTATATGAATGTATTTTTATTTATTTATTTAGAGAGTATGTGTCCTTGAAGGGGGTGAAAGGGGAGTGACAAAGGGAGAGGGAGAGAGAACCTTAAGCAGGCTCCACACTCAGCAAGGAGCCCAAAGCACGACCCTGAGATCATGACCCAAGCCAAAATCAAGAATCTGATGCTTAAATGACTGAGCCATACAGGCGCTCCTATATAAGTAAGTGTACTTTTAAGCAATAATCACCATTATTATAAACATCTGAGCATTTACCTTACTATGCTACACTGTGTATGCAACATATCATTTGAAATCTCACACCAAATGTATAAAGCAGGAACTGTTATCATGCCAATTTTAAAGAGAGAAAACTGAGTTTTTATACAAGTAAAATAATCTGAACTCAAACATTCCAACTCCAGATACTATTTTTGAAAGAATTTTAAACTGTTTGAAAGAATTATACCTTGTTAAAACATGATGCCATAGACTCTGGGTGATGACAATGTGTCAATATAGATTATAACAAATGTACCATACTGGTGGGGGATGTTGATAGGGAAAGCTGTGCTCTGTGAACTCAGAACTCAGGGATGTGAACTCAGGGATGTGAACTCAGGGATGCAAGGAGTATATGGAGAACTCAACACTTTCTGCTTAGTTTTGCTATGAACCTCAAACTATTTTTTTTAATTTTAATTTTAATTTTTTTTAGCTTTTTATTGTGTTATGCTAATCACCATAAAATACATCTTTAGTTTTCGATGCAGTGTTCCAATATTCATTGTTTATGTACAATACTCAGTGTAAACTTTTCCAAAAAAGTTTATTAACTAAAAAAAAAAAAAACAACCCAAACCCCAAAATCAAAAACAAAACAAAAAAAACCTCAAAACATAATTTAAAAAACCAAGATGGAAAATTCCCAGGCAATGCATAAATAGAATTTTTGTTAATGAAAGCTAAGAAGTCATCAATCCAGTTCTCCCAAAGACTAATATGCTACTGTGTAAAAAAAAAAAAGGAATCAAATTATTCTGATATAATTTCCTAAAACAGATGCTGTTTATCTGGAAGTATTTAAAAAATTTTTCAGGGTTAGATGATAAAACTAAATTGTCCTTAAATAGATACTCAAATATTCACACATGATAGGTTAAAGATTTTAATATAAGACTTGGTAAACAAGCAAATAATGATGAAAATATTTATTTGGAAAACTACTTGTTGATAAGGAAGACTAAAGAGGCTTGGAAAAAAAGGTTATACTTTCTAGAGCAGTAATTCCTAGTTTTTTTGGAAACAGATTTTTTTTAGAATATCACCCTTTTGCTTTGAAACTCACTTTACCCATTCTCACCTATGATTATCAAAACCTAACCAAAATAAAATGACTTTTCTAAATAAAACAAGATTACATGAAAGATTTATTCATGCAAGACATTAACAATGATCTAAACATCAATATATTTTAATTTATAATAATTTATTTCAATATCTTTGATATCTAATCTAATAATAACTGTAATAGTGAAATATAAGGAAGTTACTAATATAAAAAGATCTATGATTTCTGCTGGCAAGAGTCTCTCCTGTAATTTTTTTGACTAAATACTTTTATAAGATTTTAATTAATTAATTAATTAATAGCATGTGAGTGGGGGCAGGGACAGAGGGAAAGGGAAAGAGAATCTCAAGCAGACTCCATGCTGTGTGTGTAGCCCAACATGGGGCTGGATCCCACCACTTCGGAGATCACGACCTGACTGCAAACCAAGAGTTAGACCCTTATTTGACTGAGCGACCTAGGCGCCCCTTTGTTGACTAAATTTAAAGAAAATGTGAGGGGCGCCTGGGTGGCTCAGTGGGTTAAAGCCTCTGCCTTCGGCTCAGGTCACGATCCTCTGGGATCGAGTCCCACACTGGGTTCTCTGCTCAGCAGGGAGCCTGCTTCCCACCCCCCTCTCTGCCTACTTGTGATCTCTGTCAAATAAATAAATAAAACCTTTAAAAAACAAAGAAAGAAAGAAAGAAAGTGTGAAACTGAAATCAAAGGTAAATAAAAATAAATATAGAGGTTTTTTTCCCTGTCCAAGTTCATATACCCCAAGCTTACAACCAGGATATAATTGATTTTCTCAAAATCAGATCAACAAAAGGCTTTTCCTCCTGGCTAGGGAAGATTTTTGTTGTGGATATATCATATTATTTTATTATCCATAAAGGTATTATCCATCTTTTCTAAGGCTGGATTTTGAGTCTAAAATATTAAACATGTTAAATATGTTAATCTGGATTCTATAATTTAATACTCTAATATAGGACATATTACTGTATCACAATTTTGAGGTCCTTAAAGTATATAATCAGTATCTCTTGCAATCCCTCACATTTTATTTTATGCATTTAAAAATATTAATTTCTTTTCACTGGACTGCCAAAGGGTCCATGGCAAAATTAAGAACCACTGCTTTTCTTCTTTTTTATTTAAGATTTAATTTTTTTATTTATTTGAGAGAGAAAGAGAGAGAGCACGTGTTACATGAGGGACAAAAGGAGAGAAACTCAGACTCTGGGCTGAGCAAGAAGCAAGGAGCTGGATCCCATGACCTGGAGAACATGACCCAAGCCGACAGCAGACACTTAACTGACTGAGCCACCCAGGAGCCCCAAGAACCTCTGCTTTTCAAAGATAATTCAGCATAATGAATATATTTGAGTCTGTTCCCATGTAATTATTGACATAACATACATAAATATATATATTTTTAGAAAGCCATTGTCACTTGACAAAAGTGTACCTGGCTTCATTTTTGGGTTGTTGAAGTTCATTTCTGAGATTTTTATGCCTCCTGCATTTTCCTTCCAAAACTCCAAACCACTCAACCTTGGCTCTATTGACATTTTGGGCTGGATAATTCTTCATTGTAAGGGGCTTCCTGTGCTCTGCAGGATAGTTAGTAGAATCTCTGACTTCTACTCCCACTAAAAACACCTCTAGATATTGCCAAATCTTCCTTTGTTGAGAACCACTGGCTAAAGCGTAGATGATTATGGATATAAGAAACATGATCAATGATAGTAACTCTAAAGTTACTGTAAAGTAACTGTAAAGTTACTTGAAAGTTCTAGCAGAAAGACAACTGGAAGATAACAAGTCTTTCCCATCCACTTAACCATCCGCTTATCTTTGCTAAGGATTCAACAGACGAATGGATAAAGATATGGTCCATATATACAATGGAATATTATGCCTCCATCAGAAAGGATGAATATCCAACTTTTGTATCAACATGGATGGGACTGGAGGAGATTAAGCTGAGTAAATTAAGTCAAGCAGAGAGAGTCAATTATCATATGGTTTCACTTACTTGTGAAGCACAAGGAATAATGGAAGATACTGGGAGATGGAGAAGAGAAGTGAGTTGGAAATCGGAAGGGGAGACAAACCATGAGAGAATGTGGACTCTGAGAAACAAACTGAGGGTTTTGGAGGGTAAAGGGGTGGGGGATTTGGTGAGCCTGGTGGTGGGTATTAAGGAGAGCACGTATTGCATGGAGCACTGGGTGAGGTACATAAACAATGAATTTTGGAACACTTAAAAAATAAATTAAATTAAAAAGAAAAAAGCAAACCTGAAATATCTTGGTTTGGGACAATAAGGGAATTTGCAAAGTACCTGAAGTTTGCCAGATAAGCTGAAAATTTCTTGATTTATCACCCACCTATTTCTAAGGTGGTGTGTTTTATTAAAGTGAAAAAGAAGATGAAAGGAAGAAATATGGAGTTAATAGTTGAACATGGAAACAAAAATAAGATACTGTGGCTTTTCAGGTTTGTAAAATACCCAGTTTGCACTTCCAGTTCTCTAAAAGAGAAACATTTTAAAACAATGGATCCCTTGGTATATCACACTGGGTTGAATATGTCTTATAAGCCAGAAAGGGATGCAACTGATGGTTTTATTAAGCTTCACCTGACACTTAAGCCCAGCAGTTGTGAAAGTTGTAAAACCAGTTATGAAAGTTGTAGCAGTAAATATAGTTTTAAGCAAGATTATTTGGCTGAAGGTTAAGTCCAATGGTGTGCTTAAAAACTGGATGCAGATGATAAGCACGATAAAATTTTTTAGGTTATATGAGTATTCTCAGTAATTTTTCCTATTCCTTAAAGAATTTAGAAAAAAGAAATAGTTTGGATTTTTTTAATTTTTAATTAAAAAAATTTTTTTTTCTTTTCAGCCTAACAGTATTCATTATTTTTGCACCACACCCAGTGCTCCATGCAATACATGCCCTCCCTAGTACTTAAAAAATGATTAAAAACTCCATATTCTAGGGTTACAAGTCAGAGTCAAAATAACACATGTGATTGCCCTGTTTATAGAATACCTTTCACTTCAAAATTCATTATAAGGTTAAATTTCTGCTCAGTTTTATCTGCGATATGCATAGAACTTGCATTGCACTCCTCATTCCATTCCGTTTTAAATTTGCACACCCAATGGAATACCATAAGATTTTTCTGATTAGGGCCAGAAAAGAAATGCTAACTGGGGATTTGTGAAGGAAGAACTTTGTAACTTGGATCTGATTCAACTACTTTCCTTTCTCTGTCTTCCAACCTTTCTTCTTACCCTGGTTCCAGTCATCAGAAGAGTTACAAAGTACCCTGGTATTTTTTTAAAAGTTAAATTCTTCACTTTTCTTTTTATTAGAGAACTCTAAAACTAGTATTAGTGATGAAGAAAGAGCCCTAACCATTTGCTTCAAATTTACTTCCAGGTTGAGTTTAGCTGTGACTAAAGTTGTTATAATTTGGGTTTGGTTCAAACCAGATTATGGGAAAAACAAAAAACAAAACAAAACAAAAAAACCCCAGGTTTTTTCTTTTCCCCCAATTCACTTCCAATTTAAAAAAAATAACATCTGAGTTTCCTTTTTTGTTGAGGGAGACATAGTCATTTTGGCTTCTGTTTAAGGCTTTAACTAAACAAGGACCAATGAGTCTAATAGGTGCTATTAGCAAACAACAACCCATTTTGAAAAATCACTTTGATCTTAATTCAAAGAGAAAAAAAGGGCACTTGATGTTTGAACACATATATTATATCCTTGGGATTTATCATATCAAAAAAGACACCAAATGGACATGGCATACCAAAGAAGAGAATACAAATCTAAAAAATAAATTCTGAAATAGCTCATTACAGTCTCTTATTTGAAAATGATATAAACATGCCTCTCACCCAGATCAGAAGGTGCAATATAAAAGAAGAGTGAAACCTTTCTGGTTTTTCCTGTTATTAGGTGTGTGTGTGTGAGTGTGGGAAAGTAAGAATAGTGACTACAACTATAAATACCATACACACAAATATATGTTGATTGAATAAGGACTAAGTAAATAATTTAAATCTTTCTACATTTCAACTTCTGTATTTCTAAAAAATAGAAAATTGGACCTCTCTCAAAGGGTTGGTCTGTGATAACTGAATACATGTAGAACACTTAGCACAAAGCCTAGCACAGAGTAAGCACACAATAAATACTATTGTCATCACACCAAGCAAACAGTCTACAATTGACATAAATACCCAAACTGCTAAAATATGAATTGTAAATAATGAGTTAGGGTCAACTCTAGACTACCATTCATTAAGGATAAAAAGGCAATAAATTACCTTTAAACTTCATGGGTTTTTGGTCAAGAAACTTCTCTCTAGGATTCAGGAAGAGCTAGGGAATAGTGATACATTCAAAACAGTTGAGGGAAAGTTGAGAGAGAAACAGAAGGGGGTTAAAGAGTGAATCATGTGGCTTGGATAATGCATAAGCAATCATTAAAAAAGAAAGGATTATTGTTATATTTGATCTAGTCTCCAGTAGATAGCACTCACCACCCAGGCAGCAAAAATTATTAAGCACTGCAAAGGTGAGGGGCTACCCCTGCCTCAGGGCAGCTTACCGGAGTTGCTTTCATAGGTGTGTTTGCTGGTTACTGTTTAATTTTTTTTTTTTTTTTAAACCTGGTGATAAGGAGTATGGAGATGGAGTATTTGCTCTTTTCTGCTAACAATCCTTGAACTGATTCTCTCCACTCTACCTACCCTGGTATAAAAACTGAAGGACTAAATCCAGTAATCCTTGGTTTACCGCTCTTTAGTCAGTCAATTCTATATCCCATTTAGAGAGGCCTTGGTATGAGATAAAACCCATGGAAGCAAGCACCTAGCTCTGGGCCTGTTAGATGAAATATAATGAACTGAGTCCCTTACTTTATCAATTATCGTATCATATTTCACTTTCTTTTGTTTCAGTGAGAAGGCAGAAGAGATTCGGACTAGAGACTGCGAATTGGACAAAAATAACGGATGTTATACAATAAAAATATTTTCCTGTCTCCATACAATTTTTGTTAATAACAATACACCTAACAAAAACTACTTGCTGAACCTATACCTTATAAATAAAACAGAATGAATTAAATACTGTTTTAATTCATTCACCTGTGAATGATCTTGTTTTATTCCTTTTCCTCCTTTCTTATACCCAATTTCAACTCATGATTCTATTTCTTCCCTATTCCCTTTTCTTTTTAAGAAAAAAAACAAAACAAAACAGGGGTTGCTGAATCTGGTACCCAATCCTTAAGTAGTCATTTGCTGAAAGTATTTTTATTATTTTCATAATGATATTTGATACTAAAGTTATGTTTCCAGGCTACTTCCCAAACCACCTTTTGGATCAAGGAATGTTAAATAATTTTTTTTTAAAGATGTTCTTTCTTTCTCTTCCTTCCTTCCTTGCTTCCTTCCTCCCAATTTCCCTCTCTCCCTCCTCTCCCTTTCTTTTTCTTCCTTTCTTTCTTAGAGAGAAAGAGAGAGATAGAGCGAGCAGGGGGAGTGGCAAAGGGAGAAGTAGACTCCCTACTGAGCAGGGAGCCCAATGTGGGGGTTGATCCCCAGGATCCTGATCTGAGCCAAAGGCAGACACTTAACTGACTGAACCACCTAGGCACCCCAATAATTTTAATATAAACTGAAAACAATGTGTACTTAGAAATGTAAGACATTGGGGTAAAAGAAACAAGATTTCAAAGTAAAGAAATGGTTTTGACTGTGAAATCTTGGAATTCCTTTTATTCTCTTTAGTCCCATAAGCCTTAGTGAACTATCTCACAAAGGCCTCTTAAAAATTAATTCAGCAGAGGTGAATTGCAAGATTGATGATACAGAATCAGAGAGGATATAAGGTACGTTAACACAATAACTGGGTGACAAGAGGTGATGGTACATGAATATACAGACTGTAATTTTTGTTTTACTCATTTGCCACTTTTAAAAGTGCAAGATGATTTCTAGAGTACTCATTAAGCCAGTATCCAGACCTACCTCCTCACAAACTGTAGAAAAGCGGTTGAGGAACTGTACAGTGTGCACCACAAACTGGTTTAGAAATGCCACCGTTCTTTTCTGTTGAATAGCTGGCACCTGTGTTATGTAAAAACAAACACGATTTTCACAGGACAAAGTACACCGTGCAAACCCCTTGACGTCAATTTTATATATGTACAACCATCTATCTATCTATTTATCTATGTGTCCCTATGTTATAGGAGTTACTGGAAGTACAATGAATAGTCACTAACTTGTTTTTCTAAACTGTGGGGGTGGGGTGTCCGATGAGGACAGAAGTTGCGAAGTTTGAGAAAGGGCGTTGGATTCACAAGTGGGAACTTTAGCAGGTAAAGGCAACACACATAAACACACACACAAAAAAAACCTTGGGGGCTAAATAAAAGACGTGGGGTTAGAGGTCGCAACCTGCCTCTGCCGCCATCGTGTAAAACATGCGTAGAGCGACTCTGAACACGGGAAGCAAAGGCTGTGAAAGGCATACCACCCCCTTAGACGGATCAAGAGGGAACCCTCTTTAAGGCGAACTGCGGGACTCTACCCCCCGGAGAGCAGGACCAGAGAGGCCCGGGGCCAGGCACAGACTTGGATATGGAGAGATGGGGTGTCCCTGGGGACCGAGCGGCCCTTCCTCAATCTCCTCCCAGGTTGCCTAATATCAACTCGGTTTTTTTACAAACCTTGGTCAGGTCTATGCCTGACCCCATGAGAGGAAGCCCGTCCTCATCCATCTCCTCAGCGGGCGGGGGACTCAAGGCTCACGCACAAACCCCTCCCAGACGGGGCCCGCCCAACCCGGTAATAATGTTCAAACACCTCCCCCTAGTCCCCGCCTCCGACGCCCTTCCCACCGGAAGGAAACTCCTCCGCTCGCCAATCACTCGGGTGCTCCCGTAGAACCCGCCTCTTTACACGGCATTCTGGTATTGGTAGTTCAAATCTGGATTGTGACGTCAGACGCAGAGGCGCGGGGCGGCGCAAGGCTCCGGTTTTAGCAGTAAAGTCATAAAAAGGGAGCAAAACAACAACAAAAAAGAGAACACTGAGTCTGGTTGAGGTTATCTCTGCTTACCCCACTCTGTTATATAAATAGCTAAGTAATTCATTAATAAAAAAATACATATTTTGAAAACCTAAGTGCTGGATACTCTCCTAGGTCCTGTGGGGAATACAAAAATTGAATTTGCTGCACTGGGAGAGGTTTATGCCCTGAAGGAGGGGACAAAACTTGTTTCCTAAGGACTTAAAAACATGAAATAAAACGTCAAATGCTACAAGTGAGGCAAACGCCGATGGAAATGACACCCATTTAGATCATCAAAAAGATGGGAATTCATGGAAAGATTTCAAGCAGAAGCATGATGGGAGCGACTGAAGAGCTTTAAGGAGGAAAGTGTCATGATCTGAATTGTAGTTGAGGACAGTCGTTCTGTTTGGCATAAGATAATGAGAGTGACATGAGGGTAGCAGGCAAGCCCGGAAAAAAGTTACATAGCTGTAACAGTCAACGTTTTACTCCACTCTCCTTTACATTTAAACATCCATCTAGTTGTATGTCTTCTAGCTTCCTACAGCTTTTCAATCTATCTGTAATTTTCCAACTTTATGGCCACATCTCAAGTTCTAACATTGTCCAATGTTACTGCAATAGCCTCTTCCTGCCTCCATCTTTGGTCTCTCCAGCCTACACATTATATCTGTATAGTGATTATTTACAAAGACAAATCTGATTGTTACCCAGGATATACTTCTGTTTCTCTTTTCCCTCAGTTTAATGTGCTCACAAGGCCCTCTGCATGGCTCTTGCTCACCTCTCTAACCTCACTTCTCACTGTCTTCTCCATTTAACACCCCCCAAATGTCTTTACATTCTTGAAACCAGGAATTGCTGTGGGGCTTAAACATATTGTGTCCTTTGCCTGGAACAATCTCCTTTGTTCTCTGACCACCGCTGCCTGCCTAACTCCTACTTATTCTTATGTTCCTTTATCCTTGGTTTTCCAAGTTTGAAGACAATGTGCTTGGATGTCATTTTCTTTTTAACCTTCTTGAAGTTTGCTGAACTTCTCAGATCTCTGGTTTGATGTTTTCAATAAACTTTTGAAAGATTTCTTGGGCATTAATTTTTTCAAAAAAATGTTTTTTATGTCACATTTTTTTTTTCTGGGACTCCAAGATACATGTATGTTAGATCACTTGATACTGTCTACAGTTCATTGATGCTCTGCTCATTTTTTTCTCCCTGCGTTTCAGATCAGATAATTCTTATCAACCTATCTTAAGCTCACTGATACTTTGTTTTCTAGTGTTCAGTTTATTATGAAACTACTCACCCAATGAATTTTGATTTTAGATTTTTCAGTTCTAAGATGTCTGCTTTTAGGAGTTTCCATTTTTCTCCTAAAATTCCCTGCACCCTTCTTTCCCTGTGTGTGTTTGTGTGTGTATACACATTTCCCTGTATATTTATATATATATATACACATATATATATATATATACACACACACACATTTCCCTGTGTGTATATATATGTATATATATATTATATAAAAATATATATTTCCCTGTATATGTATATATATGCATATACATATATAGTATACAAATATATACACACACACATAGATATACTATATAAATATATATTTTTTTCTCTTTTTAAGAGAGAGAGAGGGGAGAGAGGGTCAGAGGGAGAATTCTCAAGCAGACTTCATGCCCAGCACAGAGCCCGATGTGAGGCTTGATCTCACAACACTGAGATCATGACCGGAGCCAAAATCAAAGAGACAGATGCTTAACCAACTGAGCCACTAAGAGGTCCCTCTCTGTATATTTTTAAAAACAAATTTATAATTATTATTTTCAAGTTCTTATCTAATGATTCCAATATCTGTTCACCTATTGCGTCTGCTTCTATTGGCTTTTTCTTGATTATGGGTTATGGTTCCTCCATTTGGGGATGTTACACATTTTTTTTACCTGGACATTGTGAAAAAAAAAAAAAAAAGGAACAGTGAAAATTAAGTGAGGAACTGAGCCTTCAGATTCCTTCACAAATTAAGTTGAACTGGTGCTGGGCTATAGTTTTAATTAGATTGAGTTCATGTGCAATTAGCCCAACTCCCGACCTCCTGCAAAGGATTGAGCTCTTTGATCTTGTCAATGTTTGAGTTGGAGGGAAGTGGTCTATGGTAGCAGAACATTTTGGTTCATCTTTGTATGCAACTTCAGCAAGGCCCTGGAATCTAAGCCCATGAGAATGTACAAGACTTCGAGTATTCTATTTACCAAAAGTAGTTCCTCTACTGCTGGCTTTTCTTAGCAATCTTAGGGGTAGGATATAGGCCTATGTGATTTGTTTTTGTGACTGGAGTCCTTTCAGGCCAAGTCTGTCCCACCAGTTTATACTGTTGTCAAAAAAAAAAATCTTAGCTGGTTTCTTCTTGACTCTGTAAAGTTCCCCAGAGTGTCACAGGCTTGCTCATCCACCTACTTGTACCTAGACCATACCCTTCTCCCTGAGTATGGTAATGTCACAGCTCTCTACTCACTTATGTCCCTCTAGACCTAGACATCTTGACAGAATTTAGCTCCTTAAGGTCTTATTTCATCTACTGCTTTCCAACAGCCCATGGAAAAGCATGATTTTTATTTTATCTGGTCACTTATTATTACCACATTTGTGAGAGGCTTTCTCTCATCTTTCTACATCCTAACTAGTAGCAGAAATCTTATCATCCTATCTATAGAGCAGCTTTCCCTGTTCCACCAACACTGGACCAACTGTCCCTCTGAATAATATGCTTCCATAGTATATTCTGCATTACTTTATCGTAGCACATTTTATACACTTGCCTGAATGCCCTACTAGACTATTAATTCAGGGCAGAGATTCTGACTGACTAAAAGCCTTAAGTAAGTATCTGTCGAATGACATTTGGGCCCAATGACCCTTGTGCTTCCATATCTTTCTTGATCTTCCATGAATCATTGATTTAGGCAGCACTCATGATTCCGGGTGAACTCAGTCACTCACCTAAGCTTGAGCAGAGTCCCCAACTGGCCAGCTTAACTTTTCTCTTCAGAGCTAGGAGAGGCTCCCAATGGGAGGAAAAAATAAAAAAAAAAACCAGACAGTCGCTTCATGGTTATGTATGTTATCTATAAATACCAGGCATGCATAGCTACAGTATAGAATTAAAGAAACATGAACAACTTCTCAGTTGCCCAGTTGACAAATTTTTTTTCGAAGTGGTTTCGTTTCTTAAAACAAAACAAAACAAAACACACACACACACACACACACACACACACACGAAATGCTAGCTGTGATTTCTAGTTAACAGAAAGAAGAGTAGCAGTTTCTCCCTGCCTTCTGGGATCCTTGATGATTACCGTTCATCAGTCAACCATAGCTCCTGACAGCAGTGCCATTCACAGTTTAAAAACTGAATTTCCAGGACTACTAAAAACAATTTATAGCTAGAAGTCTTGGCCAACTGCCAGAAATCCTCTGAAGTATGTAGTCCTTCCTCCAGGCTTTGACTGGAAATGATTACCAGATTTCATTTACTGTAGTCAATTTTGAAGGCAAAACAATAGATTGTAATGAATACTGATTTCAAAGGGCAGAGACCATATATATTACCCACATATATCCATTCAATAAAAAATCTTAAGAATGTTTCAACAGTTAACTTTGTTTTCATAGCAGATTACTAGAAAATAACTTATTTAATTTTATCAGGGATAAGGTCTTAGGTAGGCAAACAATGAGAATTGAGTTCTTCTTTTTCTTTTTCTTTTTTTTTTGTTTTAAAGATTTTTAAAATTTATTTAAGACAGAGAGTGATAGTGAGAGGGGGAACATAAGCACGGAGCAGTTGGAGAGGGAGAAGCAGGCTCCTGATAAGCAAGGAGCCCGATATGGGGCTCATGGTTGGATCCCAGGACGCTGCAATCATGAATTGAGTCCAACGCAGATGCCTAATGGCTGAGCCACCCAGAGGCCCCCTCCCATTTTTCTTTTGTATTTCTTCCTGCTCTGCTTCAGGATAAACAGAGGGATGTGGTGTTTCTTCACAGGAGTGGGAAAATAAAATTAAATGTCCCCTATTTACCCTCTCTGCCCTGTTCCTGATGAGTGATACAAATTGTCTATTGGAACTTGGCTAAGTGAAGGAATTCTAGCCTACAGATTTCATTTGTGTTAAGAATTTAATGTCTTGGCTACTTCTTTTAATAATTTGGCCTTTTCACACTTTCAGACTTAGAGTGTTAGGTTGTAGGCTTATATCCGATATGCAGGACCCTGGATTCTTGTCTGGAAAGCTGACTACCTTAAGAGATCTAATGATAGTTAGAGGGTTCCCAGTAAAACAGCACATAGCCTAGTGATGATCCTGCTTTCTCTGAGGGGACTTGGTGGTGGTGGGGAAGCTCTCACTGTTGCATTTGTACCTACCAGTTTTAATTTATGGAGGTGACTAAGTGATGACAGAGAGCAATGCTATTGAGAGTTTCTTACATTTCCCAAGAGAAGGGGGGCACACCATGCCACACAGGGTCTCAGGAAAAACCTCAGGAAAAACACCAGGTTTTGGTAAGGAAGCAAACAGAGGCAGGAGCTGGGGGAAGGTGTATGCCAGAGTCTTTATTGGGGTGTCTGTGGGAAAAGCAAGGTAGGGCAGGGGAAATAGTTTGAAGACTGGCTAGTGTGAATGATTGTGGTGAGCTTTGAGACACAGGAGCTGTCCCAAGCTTTGTGTACCTAGCCCTGAGTTGATATAGGACAGGG